TCCCTGTTTTCTAGCTTTTCTTCTTTTTTTAACCTCTGAGTTTTATTTTGGGTTTCTCATACAAGAGAGACCATGCAATAACCAATGTCTGACTCACTTCACATAATGCTATGTTAAATTCCATCCCTTTCCCTACAAATCACATGAATTTATTCTTCTTTATAGTCAAACAAGACTCAGTTGGGTAAGTACACTACACTGGCATTCTCCATTCATAGTTTGGCAATTGTGAATTATGATGTTATAAACACAAGTATGCATGTATTTCTATAGTATGATGTCTTTAACTCTTTCAGGAAAATACCCAAGAATGCTGCATCAAGTGCAGTTTCTGTTTTCAGTTTTTGGAGGAATCTCCATACTCTTTCTCATAGTGGATGCACTGGTTTGAATTCTTACCAGTAATGTAGAATAGTTTCCTTTCCCTCCATTCTCACCAGCATTTGTTGTTTCTTGTGTTCTTGATGAGCCATTCTGCCTGGTGTCAAATGGAGTCTCAGTGTTGTTTTGATTTTCATTTCCTTAATGGGTAAACCTATTGAACATTTTTTTGTGTGTATACTTATTGGATATTTGTGCTTTTGAGAAGTATCCGTTCGTTTTCCCATTTTTAAAATTGGGTCATTTGTTTTTGTGAGATCTAATCTTTTAGTTCTTTATTCTAGGTAGTAGACCTCTCTCAAAGAGTAGATGTTATTTTTAATTTATTTTTTATTTTTTTGTATTTTAGCAAAGGGTCTACAGGGTGCTCAGGGTCTCACTACTAGATCAGACTCATAGTGATCCACCTGTTTACAGCCTCCCAAGTGCTGGGATTATAGGCGTGCATCACCATACTGTTTCAGTGCAATTCGGGGGTGGGGCCGGCACAGCAGGCCCGGGGATCCAACCCCTGGCCCCTGTACCTGCTTGTAGGTGTTTTAATCCACTGAGCTATTTGGCCGGCTCTGAGTAGAGGATAATTACTTTTTCTATTTTGAAGGTTGTCTCTTCTTTCTGTTATATTCTTTTTTTTTTTTTTTTTTTTTTTGCAGAACTGGGGATTGAACTCAGGCCCTTACACTTGCCAGGGAAGTGCTTATTCCACTGAGCCATCTCCCCAGCCCCATTTCTGTTATATTCTTTTTTAAAAAATTTATTTATTTAATTAATTTGTGTGTGTGTGTGTGTGTGTGTGTGTGTGGCCAGCTCAACCCACCAGGGGGCGGGGCTGGCTGGCATGTGGTGCTGGGGGATTGAACCGCGGTCCCAGTGCTTTGCTAAGCTTGTTTTAAGTAGCGCTTTAGACCACTGAGCCATCTCACCAGCACCATCTGTTATATTCTTTAGGCCTCAAAAAACAGGCTTTTAAATTTAATATAATCTCAATTTTTAGTTCTTGGTATTATTTCTTGTAATATTAGAGTACAGAGACACCTTGCCTATGTGCATGTCTTCAAGTGTTTTTCCTGTTTTATCTTCCAGCAGTCTCAGTACTTCTGTTTTTATACCTAGATCTTTGGTCCATTTCAATTTTAGTTCAGTAGAGGGTGAGAGATGTGGATCTAGTCTGATGCTTTGACTTGTAGACAGCCGGTTTTCCCAGTGCCATCATGCATGAACTTTAGAACACAGAAAATATTGTAAAGCTACTCGTTCAGGTTGGTCAGTGGCACATACCTGTGATCCCAGCACTTGAAAGACTGAGGAAAGAGGACCTTGAGTTTGAGCCATGCCTAGAGTCCATCGTGAATTGGAGATTAGCCTTAGATAAATAGTGAGACTCTATTTTAAAATATTTTTTTAAAAAAGTTACACACCCATCTGCCTTGGTAATTCTCAAAGTGTTGACAGTACTGATGTTGAGAATTTCTGATCTATCCAATAACACAGCTCCTACATACCCAGATCATTTAGCCAAAAGTAATAAGAATATATGTTTACAAAGATGTCCCATGCTAGCTAGCCTGCCCTACTGTTATGGTTTGTGTCTGGTTGTTTCCCCACCAAACCTCATGTAGTCATTGGTGCAGCAGGCTTCTAAAGTGTGATTAATCCATGCTCCAATGCTAGGATTATGGGTCTGAGTGCTGCTGGGATTATGGATGTGAGTGCTACACCTGCCCTGGGATAGATAGCCTGCATGCAATGTGAGGAAGGGAGAGAGGCTTGCTCCTGCCACTGCTCCTCCTTTTTGCTCTTGCTGTTTTGCTGTTTTCTGCCACCATGAACAGCTGGCCCTCTGCCTTGTACCACTCTGCCTTGGAGCTAGCTGAGTAAGGACTGAACCTTCCACAAACTTTGAACTAAATAAACTTTTCCTTCTTTAATTTGGGATATTGGGTATTTTGTCCAGCAATGAAAGAAAAGTAACCAAGACACACACAGTAGGTTTATTGATAATATCCCCAAACTAAAAATTTTTATTAGCAATAAGAACAAACTTCATATACATAAAACAGTATGGATTAATATAATTTTAAAATGACACCAAATGGAAAGAGGCTGGAAACAAAAATATATCCACTGCAATTATTGAATTTGTATGAAATTCAGGATAGGCAGAACTAAATCATGGCTACAAGCAGTAGATCGGTGGTTGTTTCTTGAAGGCGAGAGACTTATTGGAAAGCTTGGGGGAACTGCCTAGAATATTCAATAATCATTTGTGAAGTGGTTGAATAGAACACTTATGATCTGAGTACTTTAGGGGAGGACTGGAGGGAAGGAAGAAGAAAGGAAGGAAGGAAGAAGGAAGGAAGGAGGGGAGACACATAGGCAATCAACTGGTTGGTTTTTAAGGCCATTTTCTTCCAAACAGCTATCCATTGATTCATGGTCTCCAACATTTATTCTCCATCTTTGCCATTCTAGTGGTTGGGTAATGTAGTATTTTGTGGTTTGTTTGCATTTCCTCCAAGATTAATTGAAATTGAGCATATTATCTATGTTTATTGGCCTCTCAGAAATTGTTTTTTTTGAAATGAACTTCTGTCCACTCTTTGTTGGGGTATCTTATTTATGAGAGTTACATATTCAGAAATACAGATTTGAGAATGCAAAACTAACACAACTGGGAATTAACACAATTCTGCTTTGTGTTAAATTGGAAAGGCAACAACTACTGGTGAGATCTTGTGGGTACGTGTATATAAAATATACATATATTTTAAATATTTTTCCTATTCCCTCTTTACTCTGATGGCATATTTTAATGAACACTTTATTTCAGTTATTCAGTTTTCATTTGTGGTTAGTGCTTTCTGTGTCCAGTTATTACATTTTAGCCTACTGCAAAGTTACAAAGATGTTTTCTTACAGTTATTGAGTATTTAAACTACAGATTGGCAATCAAATGAAGTGTATTTTTGTTAATTATGTGAATAATGCAAACAACTAAGTTTTTTTTTTTCATATTAACATCCAAATGAATCTAGCACATTTATTGGAAAGATAATCTTTTCCCCACTGAAGCATGTCCTGGAAACTTTGAAAAATAATTTACACTTAAAATCTATTTATGTAAGTGGTTCAAACTCTACACACAGTTCTATGTTTTATGTTCATATGACACTGTTGCAGATAAGCCTCTTAATGGCTTCACAGATATTGACAGACACAGCCTATTAATGGTTTCATATGTTATGCATCACAAAAAATTAATTCCCTTAAGTAGAAAGTATATTTCTCTCTTTTACTGTTGTTGCTATTAATGTGCTGAAATGAGCCTTCTGCCCAGAGTAAGAGTCAGTTATTTATTTCTTAAGGGTAAATTGCCAGGTTTGGAAATTGCTGGGCTAACATGCCTTCCTATTTTAAATTTTGGCTTCTGTAGATTTATACTATTTTTTACTCACTCCTTATCTTAGTTTCATTCCTTGTATCTGGGACAAAATACCCAACACCCACAACATAAGTGTGAGGTATATTTTGGCTCACAGTTTTAAAGAGGTTTCAGTCCAGGGTTGGTTGTTGCCAAGCCAGGGTAGCATGGCAGAAGGGCAGAAGGGCAACAACTCATGGCATGGCAGACTGGAAGGAAAGAGAGGGAGAGACCTGAGAGGGAAGGGAGAGGGAGGAGGAGAGAGAGAGAAAGAGAAGGGGGAAGGAGATTGAGAGACCTCAAGGAAAGAGGGAGGGAGATATACCCTTCCGGGCCAAGGACCTAGTGACCCACCTTCTCCAACCAGGCTTCACCCCCAAATAACATTTAACTATAAATTCAAGTCTACTGAGGAGCATATGTCCCCAGATCCAGTTACCATCCCCAAAACCTACCTATGAGACTTTGGGGCAGATATCTACATAGAAACTGTTAACTTCCCACTCACAGATATTAACTCATTCCCCCATAGTCTCTCCAACAATAGCCATTTTCAATCTTTTTAATCCAAGCAAAATGAAACACTTCCAATTCGTTTACCAATAGGTTAAATAATCTTGCGTATGACTTTATTGGTTATTCGAGGTTTTTAAAAAAAATTTCCTTTTAAATCTTCATTTTTGTTCTGCTGTTGGTCCTTCTATTGATATATGTACACACATGCGTGATATAGTTACATCTCCCTACTTATAAAAACAATATAACAATATTAGCTAGCAGTTTCCCAAGTTTGGCTTTCAACGACATAGGTTTTGAGTTTCAGTTTCAATCCACCCTATTCTAGGAACTAATTCCGCTGAACAACGCTAGAAAGAAAATCTTTGGGCTCTGGGAGTAGGAAGGCGGAGCCAGCACTTTCCGAACCAGTCCGCTCCTCCTTAACCCTCCACGCCACCGCTCAGCTAACTACGCATGCGTAGCTTCCGTTGCCATAGCACCCGGGGCGCGGGGGGCTGGCCTCTCGCGGTTCGAGTTTCTTGAGGAGAACCGAAACCCAGGCTAAACTGGGAGAGTAGCCTGCGAGCGTGACGTCAGCGTACGTGACGCCAGCCCAGCCAGGCGCGTGCGCAGTGAGGCTGTCAGGGCCTACGGGCTGCCGTAGCAGGCGTCCGGCCAGGGCAAGTCCTGGAGGAGGACTTCGGGTGCAGGTGCCAAGAGGGCGGGTCCGGGCCAGTTTTCCTGGCCTTCAGCTACGCCCATCTCCCCTGCTGCTGGGGGTGCCGCGGACCCAGAGGACGGCCTGCTCTGGAAGCCGACCGTGGAGGGAAGTGGAGAATGGCTCCCTGGAGTGAAAAGAGCGAGTGAAGCGCAGTCTCCCCGGCCCGTGGGGCCCAGGCGGGCGTGAGCGGAGGTAACCAAGGCCGGGTCGTGAGTTTGGGTCTGGACTTCCCAGAGGGTGAGGCTGGGTCTGGGACGACCGAGTTTCCTTCAGGGCGGAGGCGGGGTCGCTCGAGGAGCGCTTGGGACTCAGTTTCACAAAAGTGAAGTGCGACTGTGGCCCAAAGTGAGCGCTACATCAACCCTGGTTTTTTTTCACAGTTCCTCGGAGGAGTTGGCAGAAACGCTTCCAAGTCTCCTTTGTGTTACGTGGAGAAATGAGAACTGCTGAGAACTTGTGGGTTCTGTATTAGGTTGCTGAATTGTACAAGTAAGTATGCTCTGTGGCTTTTGGCAGAAATAATAATAATAAATTATTCAAGTCTGCGTTGTAGGAATGGTAATACTGACCCACCTAACAGGATTATGATGCCACAAAGCTCTTTGGAGTGTTTAATGAAAGTGACCCAGGATTACATACTGGACAAAATTTCCGTGCAATCTAAAAACCACAGATTTTTGTTTTGCCTCTTTTTGAGATGCGTTGAAGTGATGGAATGAAAATAAAATGAATTAGTATGACTTAGTAACTGATCTAGAAGATCCTTTTGTGCAATGTGTGATATCCAAATATTCAGTAAATACTCACTGGGTCCTTTACTTTGTACTAGGTAGACACGTTCCGACTTTTTAGCGTGATGTATGAGTAAGCAAAACAAAGATCCCTGCTCTATTTAGCTTATGGTGTAGTGTGTAGAAGACAAACAAACAATAAACAGTAGGCATAAATAAGTTTGAATGAACCGAGTGTCGTTGGGAATTATACCTTGTCGTTGGCAAGGTACAATTTTAAATAAGTATGTCAGGGCCTATAGATTTCACAGGGAAAATAACATTTGCACAAATACTGGAAGAACATGTGAAAGTTAGTCGCCAAACAGCTGGCCAAATAGTTTAGTGGATTAAAGTGCCTGCAAGCAGGCACAGGGGTTGGGGGTTCAATCCCTGGGCCTGCTGTGCTAGCCCTGCCCCTGGGGCATGCTGAGAGGGCAAATGAGATTGGGCGTGGTGGTGCACACTTGTAATCCCAGCTCTTGGAAGGCTGTAAACAGGTGAAACACTTAAGAGTCCTATCTAGTAGTGAGACCCTAGACACCCTGTAGACCCTTCCCTAAAATAAATAAATAAATAAAGATACATGAGGAAGAGCATCTCCGGTAGAAGGACCAGCTAGTGCAAGGGTTTTGGGCTTGGAAGGTGCATGATGTCTTCTGTGTGACTGGAGGGGAATGATAATGGGAGCTGTACTGAAAGTTGCCTTGTAGCGTAGCTTAAGTATAGTGAGGAAGAACAGTAGAGTATATGCATCTCTTTGGTTGTCCTCATGTAAAGGTAATTTACCTATTTAGGTAAAATTTAGGTAAGATTTTACAGCTTAACTTAAGCTATTAATGTGTGAAATTAATGACTGAAGTCAGACTTGCAATAGAATATATTTGAGACCTAAACATGGTTGTAGATTTAGTGAGCACTGTGAATTAATATAGAAGAGCTTGTTGTAATAAAATTTTCAGTCCTTATTTAGTACTTCTGTGAATGCAGAATCAATATCTTTTTGCCTTCAGATTTGACTATAGTTTCTAACCTAAAAAAAAAAAAAAAAAAAGATCTAAGGTTAGTCAATGTTAATAAGTATTTGTCACTGTTAACCTGTATTTACTTGTAATTTGTAAGTACACTGTGGAGAAACAGAAATGACTATAAAGAAAACCCATTCTATCAAGGAATTTACAAAATCGCTTACAAAGTTTAGAGTCAGTAAACTTAAGTCAAACATAAAAGGGATGAAAAGTGTGTGCCAGAAAAGATAGTAAAAAGTAAACACTAGTGGGATGAAGTCTTCTGGGCATTATTGTACTTCTTAGGACAGCAGATCGCCTTTATTCCCCAGTTTAATCTCTGAACATGTGCATGTTTTAGGATGGTGATTTAGTTGTCAATTTTTTTTCTGTTGTTTTTGTTGTTGTTTTGTATTTTAGGACAAGGTCTACAGGGTCTCATCACATAGATTGGACTCAGAGTGATTCTCCTATTTTCAGCCTCCCAAGTGTGCACCACCACACCCAGCCTCCATGCCATCTCAGCATGCCCCAGGGGCACAGCACACTGGGGATTGAACTCTGGCCCCTATGCTCTGACTAAGCAGGCGCTTTAGTCTACTGAGCTATCTGGCTGGTCCTTAGTTGTCAAATTTTTTTTTACATCTAACAAACTTAGGTTTTTGCAAAACAAGATCCAGAATGAACTGCATATACTAAATTAAGTACAGAATTTACGAGTGAAAGCACCTATTAAATTTCACTAATAAGTGCCTGGTAGTACTCATTGCTTTATTGGAATTCAGAACTTCCCTAACAGTAATGGCATTATATAGTGCTTTTTTCTCTTATTTTCTTTTTCCAGGAGAGAAATTTTTTTGGCTTCTTGGGCAGTGTTAAAGCACAAAGTATACAGTAAATGTGTTTGTAATTATATTTGGTAAGGCTTTTTTTTTCATTTGAAAATTCTGCTACAAAAGTGTTTTTAAGTTTTAGTGGCAAGCAGAAGTAATGAGAGGTTATAGTGCAAGCATGAAACTGTATGACCAATCATATTTGAGGCAGGAATCTGTAAGTTACAGACATACCACAGAAAACTATGGTTTTAGCAGTAAGCAGGTGGAGGCTAATTATTGAAGTGCAACACAGTTTACAGGTGTTGTGATGAATGTATTAGCTGCCTTTCCATCACTGTGGCAAAATACCTGATATAAACAAGTTAGAAGGAAAAGTTTATTTTGGCTCATAGTTTCATAGCTTTCAGTTCAGTGATCACTTAGCTCACTGCCAGGCACCATGGTAGGGTGTGCATTGTGCATGGTGCATGGAGAAGGAGGGTTGCTCACCCAGTGATGGTTAGGAAGCAGAAGGTAGGGGCGGGAGGGAGAAAGACAGAGACAGAGACAGACAAAGACAGACATTCAAACAGAGACAGACAGAGGAAATCCCAATATTCTCTTCAAGGGTATGATTAATTTTCTATAAGGCCTTACCGTGAAAGCTTTTATCACTTCCCAATCGCAGCACAGTCTAGAGATCAAGCTTTTAACACACGGGCCTCTGGAGAACATTCCAGATCTAAACTGTACCAGTGAATGTGATTTGGTGGTCAGTAGAGATGACTGATACCACCAAAGTGCATGACTCAGTGAAATTTGGACAGAAGATGTGCTTAGTAATGCTAGTAGGTGGCTAAGTGGGTGATGGCAGAGGGGCTTGATGGTAGGAGTAAGCACCAGGTTCATGTGCAGGATGCCTCTGGGAGGGGGTGAGGTATGTAGGAAATTTTTTAAAAATGCTAAAGGTTGCTTCTTAGAACTGGACCAAAGTCATGTCTAGGGATAAATCTCTACATGTTGGATGTTTGCAGCCATGTGGGTGTTATCCCAGCTGTAGGTAGAGAACTTTGGGGAGGAGCTAGACCTATTACTATGGTAGAAGCTGCCATTCACTCATAAGACTATTCTTTGGTATATGTTCTTTGTATGCCCGTGTGTTTTATCCTTCTTTTAAAAAAAGACATGGCAGGGTGTTTTTCTTTTCTTTTCTTTTTGGTGAAAAACAATGTCAAGATACAGTTTTCCCAAGCCCCTTATTAAGTTATAAGAGGCAAAACTGGAACTCAGGTCTATTGAACATTGAAGCTGTTATTTTTTATTTTATATTGCCTTTTTTTTTTTTTATAACAATGCTGACATTAGTCTTCTTTTATGGAGTTTATTATGAGTGTTACTAGATTTATTGCAGATACTTCATTCACTAATAAATTTTATTGATTTAATGTTTTTCTCTCCTAGATTTTCATTTAATTTGAAAATGAGCAAGTGCAGAAAGGTACCAGTTCAGCAGTTAGCAAGTCTTGAGACATTCAGCCCAGATGTTCTGGATGACATTTTTGAACTCTTTGCCAAGAACTTTTCTTACTGCAAGCCACTTAATAGTGAGTGGCAGTTACCAGATCCTAGTGAGATTTTCATCTGTGACCACACAGAATTGAATGCATTTCTTGACCTGAAGAACTCCTTAAATGAAGTAAAAAACCTCTTGAGTGATAAGAAACTGGATGAGTGGCATGAACACACTGCTTTTACTAATAAAGCAGGAAAAATAATTTCTCATGTGAAAAAATCTGTGAATGCTGAACTTTGTACTCAAGCGTGGTGTAAATTCCATGAGATTTTGTGTAGCTTTCCGCTTATTCCACAGGAGGTCTTTCAGAATGGCAAACTGAATTCTCTTCACCTTTGTGAAGCTCCTGGAGCTTTTATAGCTAGTCTCAACCACTACTTAAAATCCCATCAGTTCCCTTGTGATTGGAGTTGGATAGCTAATACTCTGAATCCATACAATGAAGCAAATGACAATCTTTCAATGATTATGGATGACCGACTCATTGCAAGTACCTTGCATTGGTGGTACTTTGGACCAGATAATACTGGTGATATCATGACCCGTGAATATCTGACTGGACTTAAGAATTTTCTGAGTAGCATGGCTACCATTCACTTGATCACTGCAGATGGGAGTTTTGATTGCCAAGGAAACCCAGGTGAACAGGAAGCTTTAGTCTCTTCTTTGCATTACTGTGAAGTTGTCACTGCTCTGACTACTCTCGGAACTGGTGGCTCTTTTGTTCTAAAAATGTTTACTTTGTTTGAACATTGTTCCATAAACCTGATGTACTTGTTAAACTGTTCCTTTGACCGAGTCCACGTCTTCAAACCTGCAACAAGCAAGGCAGGAAACTCCGAAGTCTATGTGGTGTGTCTCCAGTATAAAGGAAGAGAGGCCATCCAGCCTGTGTTATCTAAGATGGTGCTGAATTTTGGAACTGAAATGACCAGCAAAGCTCTCTTTCCCCATTATGTGATTCCTGAATCTTTTCTTAAAAAGCATGAAGAGTGTTGTGCTTTTTTTCATAAATATCAGTTAGAGACTATTTCTGAGAACATTCGTCTGTTTAAATGTATGGAAAAAGAGGAACAAACAAAGTTGAACAATTTAAGGGATTGTGCAGTACAGTATTTTATGCAAAAATTTCAACTGAGGCCTCTTTCCAGAAATAACTGGCTAGTAAAAAAATACAATATTGGTTGTAGTACCAATACAAAATGGTTTGGGCAGAGAAACAGATATTTTAAAACCTATAATGAAAGGAAGATTCTGGAAACCCTATCTTGGAAAGATAAAGTAGCCAAAGGGTACTTTAATACTTGGGCTGATGACCATGCTGTGTATTATCCTGGACAAAATTCTTTTTTAGAAGGGACAGCTTCCAATCTTGACTGTGACTTATGGCATGTTATAGAAGGCAAGAAACTGCCAAAGGTAAAATGCTCTCCTTTTTGCGATGGTGAAATTGTAAAGGCTCTTAATGAAGCAATTGAAAATTCCTTAGGACCTTTGAACATGGGTTCCAAGTTGAGACCACAACAGCAGTACTGTTGTTCTTGTCATATTTTTTCAGAAGAGCTATTACTTTCTGAATTGTTCAGTCTTACCCAGTGCCTTCAAGATGAGGAGCTTTTGGAACCCAGGAACCAAATAAAGTGCCTGTTTGTAGGTTTACCAACTCTCCATGATGTCAGAAAGCATATACCACTGGAAGTTCAAATCCTGGAATGTGCTGAACTCTCAGCTTTTAGCTGTTCACTGCTTCATGACGGAGACCCGCATTACCAGCATTTGTTTTTGGACTGCCTTCTACATTCATTACAGCAGCTTCATAGAGGAGATGTTATGATTTTGCCTGTGCTCTCATGTTTAACAAGATTTATGGCTGGCTTGATCTTTATACTCCACAGTTGTTTTAGATTCATCACATTTTCTTGTCCCGTGTCTTCTGAGTCCCTGAGGACCTGTGCAGTCCTACTATGCGTTGGTTATCAGAACCTTCCAAATCCAGCTTTCCAATATCTGCAGAACATGAATGAATTGTTGAGTACTTTACTGAACTCTAATGCGCCCCAGCAGGTTTTACAGTTTGTACCAATGGAGTTGCTCCTAAGAGGAGCACTACTTGATTTTTTGTGGGATTTGAATGGTGCCATTGCTAAAAGGCATTTACATTTGATTATTCAAGGAGAGAGAGAAAAAATCAACTTTCTGCTATGAAATTCATCCTTTCTAAGATTCAATTTTTTATGACTGATAGTTTCCAGTCTTATTGCATATTTGCTGTGTTAATTTAATGCCTTTCATTTTGAGGAAAGGTGAAATTTTGATCAACATTTATTCTGGAAAACTTACCAGCTAGTTCTGATTTCTACGATACATATAATAGCCATAGGCATAGAATTAGTGTATGCAGTAATGTATTGAGCCTCTGTGTGTGTGTGTGTGTGTGTGTGTGTGAGAGAGAGAGAGAGAGAGAGAGAGAGTGTGTGAGTGCTTGGAGTGGATACATTTATGCTTGCATATATAATTCAGTTGATCCTATTTATCTATTTAAACTTTGCACCTGTGTGCCTTTATTTACTTTTTTTCAACCAGTTTTCTCTGGCTGATGCTGTTAATGAATTGATAAGAGGGTCATTCATGAAAGGAAGTGAGTCTGTCCTTACTAGGTTTTTCTGTAGCACTTGCTGTGTCAGTTACAGATTTCAGGGAGCTCATCCTCAAGACTATACATGCCATTCACTGCCTTTGACCATTGTCCCAGTATTCTCTTATATTTCACATTAAATATGTGCTGTTTTATGACTTTTACTAGCTATACCCATCCAGTTAGAAAACAGGCAGCTTCAAACCAAAGATCATCCTTCCCCCCCCCCATCATTCTTAAAGCAATGGAAAAATTATGTCTAGTATACTCCTGTATCATGAAAAGCTTCATTTAGCCATGCTGTGGTAATTTTTAATTTTTAGGAAATAATCACTGAATCTAAAGGTTTTTTTTAATGTTTTAAGTTTTCACTTAACAGTCTCATATTGACATATGAATGTGATGAACATAGTAAATTTTTTTTTTTTTCTTTTTGGCAGAACTGGGGATGGAAGTCAAGCCCTTGTGCTTGCCAGGGAAGTGCTTATTCCACTGAGCCATCTCCCTGGCCCCAACATAGTAAATATTGAAAAACAATACTATCGGGATGATGATTCAACATTCAAGTTTTTAGTCTTTACTAATGTTTTAGTATAAAAATAGCACTTTACCAAGAGATTAGGTATGAAATAGTTATTTTATCAGTTATATTTGATTTCTTTTGAATTGTATTTAACCATATAATAAACATTTCTGTCAAACTGTATTAAATAATTCTTTGTTACCTACCTTTATTATTCCACAGAGTAGGGTTTATATTCTCAAATGTCCATTTTTAGATATTTTTGTTATATGGATTGTACAAGTATTCTTTGGTATATTTAGTTGGTAAATCTGAAAACTTTTCATGTTCTTTGCTGTTTTGAATTCTATTATAGATTCATGAATAAAGTCTTTAGCAGAAAAATTTTGTGCTCATCTTTTCTTAAAATCATGAGAGAAGTTAAAATATAACTTGGAAACATGCTTTTTAAAAGATTTGAGTGAAAGTGACTTTCTTCATTTCCTTTGATTTGTATTCATTAAAATTGATTCCTTAATATTGTAATATTTATGCAATACTGGAATATTTATGGGAGACGTACTTTACAAGAGACATTAAGTACTTGAGCTGGGAATGGGAGTGTGTGGAGGCCTAGAGGTAGAATTTTTAAAAAATTAATTTCCTGTTAGGGATTTTATAGAAGTAGTTCTAGTTAGATGAGGGTGGAAGGCTCATGGAAATGGTTACCAAAAGAAAGAAAGTTAAAAAAAAAAAACTCTTCAAAAAATAATTTTGCCAGGCAAGTACTTATTCTACTGGATATCCCAATAGAATAAGTACTTGCTTGGCAAGCACAAGGGGCCGAGTTTGATTTCCGGTTCTGCCAAAAAATTAATTTTGCACATGATATTCTTCACACCTTAATTGTAATAATCTTTACTTGAACCATTTAATAAGAATGAAAATGAAAGCCTGGGTCCAGTGCTAATAATTAAAACCTTTTGTTTAAGCTCCTTAAGTAAATATTGAATGCTTAGGGGTTTTTGTTTGTTTGTTTAAAACACCAGCCTTCATCGGAATATTTAACAAAATCAAATCTGATTTATTGGATTCAATATACCTGAGGTCAGATAAATGACTTGAGGGTTCAGATTGAACTGGTTGTAGATGACACATACCAATATTTATAAGAATTGCTTTTTGACCAAAGGGGAGAAAAAAATGTTATCCAAAGTTTAACAGAAAAGTAGAGAAGGCTAATAAAGTATGAGTGGCTTATATTGCTTATCAAGTTACTTTTTAAAATTTTTTTCCATAATTATTGAGATTTTTAAAGATGCAGTGCAGTTTGAAAATATTTTTAGCTGAAAGTTTAAACTTTACAAAATGTGTTTCGTAGAAACTTTAATTTCTTAGGTATTTTTGTTTGCATTAAGAAAGTTGTGTGTTGAGCTTTTGGTGTAATATCATTTGAATATTTAAATGCAGTGGAATTAGCTTTTCTGAAAGAAATTTAAAATACTAATTTGTGGATTTAACTGTCATCTTTAAAACTGGTTTTTGCTATTTTAAAAGCGATCTATGTTAATTTTTTCTATTCCAACAGTTCTGAATGGAGTAATAGAGCAGTGTTAAGATAGAAAAGTGAAAGATGTATATTTATGGTACTGTTACTTTACTTTGATGAGAATAGCAGGTCTTTAAATATGTAATTATGTGTAGTTTAGGGATGGAGATGCAGTCTGATAAATGCGTGGCTAGGCGTTTTGTCACTGCATGAGAGTCATAGTATTTACTCAAGCATAGATGGTATTTATCTACCTAAGCTATGTGTTATAGCCACTGTCTTATATGTGGCCTGTTGATGGAGACATTTTACATTGCTTTTTAAATCTTTTGTTTTCAGATGAAATCATTGATTGCATAGCTTGAAAATGAGTTACAGTGCAATGATATGTTCGAGGATATAAAATCAGCTAATTCCTTAAAGTTTTGGAAATGAAAATTTTTTTGTATTTATTTTTTTTCAATAATTTTATTGAGAAACAGTAATGAGACAGTTTCAAATCCAATTAGGACAGTTTCAAAAATTAATACATTGCATATTGTTGTCTTAGTGGTTATTCATTGTACAAGATGCAGACATGATAGCCTGTTTACAAACACTATTAGAACAAATCTTTTTTTTCAGAACTGGGGGTTGAACTCAGGCCTTTGCTTTCTCCAGGGAAGCGCTTATTCCACTGAGCCATCTCCCCGGCCCCAAGAACAAATCTTTCTATTCATTGAATTAAGAAAATGTAGCTATATATCTATCCTAATTATTTTGAATCCATAGATATAAAATGTTCATTTGTATCCCCTTTTTTTGTTTAGTTTTGTCAGAGAAGTATATTTATTCCATTGTCATTTAAATATTTAGGTGCATGAATTCAGCAAAATATTCCAATATAGTCCAGTAGTCCATAATAGTAGTGGGTTTTCCGTAAGACTGGCAATGTCAGAAGTTGCTGACTTGAGCCTTTTACAGCTCAGCCTATTAATATGGCTTTACTTTTTATACTTCATTTTTATATTTTTCTGCTGGATGGTTAAGACCAAGATAAAGCAGGACCTATATAATAAGAAATGTAGCTTTTGTATCTGATAATTTTTTTGTATTTAGTACAGGGTCTATGCGGTCTCACTCTGTAGATTGGACTCATACTGACCCGCCTGTGTTCAGCCTCCCAAGAGCTGGGATTACAGGTGTGTGCCACCACACCCAATCCTGTCTCAGTCACCCTCTCAGCACACCCCCTGTCTGCCTAAGCAGGGGCTTTAATCCGCCCAGCTATTTGGCCAGCCTGAAAATGTTGATTATAAGTCCACACAATCTGTTTACATACCATGTTCATTGACATTAAGTACATTAAATGACATTAAGACATAAAATGTCTATAATATTTTATCTAGTGTTCACTTTTTGTTTTTTAAGATGAAAATAAGTTGGGCATAGTTGTCCACACTTGTGATTCCAGGTATTTAGGAGCTTTACAAGTTTAAGGACAGCCTCCACAATGTAGTGTTACCTTGTCTCAAAAATAGGCTGGGTGTGTAGTTCAGCAGGAAGGCTCTACAAAAAAAGAAAAAAAAAAAAGTACAAAGTACATTTAAACAATATGTGATTATCATTTTTGTGAACACTACCTGATTATAAAGATTTAAACAGCACAAATTTTTTTCTGTATTTTGAGACAGGGTTTTGGTGTGTAGTCCAGGCTGACCTTGAAGTCATGACAGTCCTGCCTCGGTTTCCTGAGTGCTGGGATTACAAGTCTGGGCCACCATGCCCTGCAATTTTCTGCTCATTTTTATGTTCTAAAAGAGATATTGAATATATTGATACATTTAACTCTTGTCTTTTGTAGTCTTAATATATGTTCAATGTAGAAAATTAAATATTCCACATTAAAATGGACATTATTATATGAAACATATATTCTTGACCTGACTGAAAAGTGTGTTTACTATCAAAATTCATTTGATAGTATACCTCACTCATCATTTACTGAATAAAATTGTTTTTAAGATGATCATAGGAACAATACTACATTTTTTTGTATTGAGATAAAAAAATTTCATACTTCAATATTGATACTTAAATCAATTTTTTATTTGAATGTCAAGCAAGTTAATTTAGAGTTGGGCCAGTAGGTCATCCTAAATAACAAACTAAAAGCTTGATACTACATAATACATTAAAACAACCCTCAAATATATAGTTAGCTGTTTCCTTTTTCAGGATTCCAACGTATTCTTTTCCCCCATGTTTTGTTTTAAGCTTAATGTTTGCTGCTTATTATTTTTGGCTAGTACTGAAAAATGAAGATATCATTCAGTAAGTATGAGTTTATACTGAAATAAGTTGGGAAGAGCTTCTTAATAACCACAGGTAGGTGAAGATGCAGCTAGTATTTACTGGTGAAAAGACTGAGTACTTATCTGTCACTAAGCATAGTTAGCATTTAATTTCACTCAAAGGTTTTTTTTTTAAGTTTAGTCTGTGTTTGTATATAGTTTTTATACTCATAAATTATACCCATAATATTTTTCTAATTTTCTTGAGATGACTATTGTGTCTTTCCAGTTTTTACTAATAGATCAATTAAGTGTAATTGTTCTAAGTTGATTTATTCCAAGTGCAGCAGCATTTGTTTAGTCTGTTATCAGACATTTAATAGTACTTCATATTTAATGTTGCAGTCATAGTTTTGAATGGCTTAAATGTGTTGTAACTTAAGGAAAGCATTTATAGAGACTGTTCTGTGGTCGTTAGAGTGAAAAGATTAGATTCTATGGATCACTGTGGATGAACATATCTTATGTGCTTCTCTTTCCTATTTTAAGGTTACACTTTAAAAGCAAAGTGTTTTCCTGAGCAGGACAGATGTGTTTTCCTGTTGATAGTTCTAAAAGTTTGTATTCTGTCTAGATTGAAAACTCATTTTTCTATTAGATGAGCTTAGTAAGTCTAACACAAGGATAAATGTTTTCTAGTAGATTTCTTTTATTAAGGTAAATATCCTTGCAGCTACCTGATAACTAGTAATGTTAAGCTTCATGGAGTTATAGTATTTACTACTTGAATTACTCACTTGAGCAATACTTAACTTCATTTTCTTATTCTTTCAAAGGTTATAAACCCAGGCTGGGGAAGATGGCTTAGTGGTCTAAGCATCTGCCTGGCAAGTGCAAGGGACCCGAGTTTGATCCCTGGTGTTGCATGTCATGCCAGCCCTGGAACCCCGGATGCATGGTGCCAGCCACTGAAACTAGGTATGGTGGAGCACGCATGTAATTCCAGTGCTGGAGAGGCTGAGATAAGATCTGTGAGTCTGAGCTGTGCAGCAAGCAAGACCTTTGTTATGGTGTGTATCTAGTTGGCCCCCAAAGCCTCATGCAGTCATGGGACGGCTTCTGGAGTTTGCAACTGATCATTGTGGGTGTGGATGCTGCACCTGCCCTGAAGTGGTTAATTTGCTGCCATGTAAGGAGGGTTGAGAGGCTAGCTGGCTGGCTGAGCTGCAGCCCCTCCCTATGCTATCTCACTTTTTGCACTTGAGAGATTGTTCTCTGCTCTGTTCCGCTTTGCCTTGGAGCCAGCTGAGTATGGACTGAAACCTCCAGTAACTGAGCTAAATAAACCCTTCCTTCCCTCATTTTAAATATTGGGTATCTGTCCCAGCAACGAGAGAGGACTAACTGAGACAACCTTGTACCAAATAAATAAATAAATAAATAAATAATTTTTTAAAAAAAATCGAAGATTATAAGCTCACCAAGCAAAAGAATTTTGTGTGCCTTGCCATCAATGTAAGTATCTAAAGGGCTGTTTTTCCTTTTATTCATAGGATGTGTTTAAACATGAAAATGTAAAAGTATATAGCAAACACCCGTGTATCTTCGTGTAAGTTCTGGTAAGCATCAATATTTTGCTGCACTTGTTTTGTTTTCCTCCACTTTTTTTTTTCTATTGGAGTATTTTAAATTCAAGAAATATACACCCATGTGTCTAACCAATAGTGCTTGATCACACCTAACAAAGCTACTCAGTACCACTCAATCCTTCTTCATGTTTTCCATGCTGTTTCAAAAATGCCCTTTCATAATTGGTTTGTTCAAATAAGGATCTGAATAAGCTTGACACATTATGTTTTCTTACTATGCCACTCAGAATTCAGGAGTTCCTCTCACACCCTCATTCCAACATTTTCTGTGCT